TACACTGAGTAACAATAAAGTGGTGGAAATGTTAACAGTGAGAATTATTAAATAAGCAGGGCGTGTATGATATATAGTAAATACATGACTGGAAAGCTTCAAGGAACGACATGCTTGGGAGACGTTGGTGCTGATGGGTGGATCTTGAAAAAAATTGGTTATAAAGATGTGAACTGGATTTAAATGGTTCACAACAGAGAACAATGGTCTTTTTTGTAAACACACTGATGAGGCATCAAAATATTAAACAATGCAAAACTATAAATTTTACCTCTTTCTTAACATGAATGTGAAACTTGGCATCAGGTTAAGATAAGAACACAATAAAGGCCTTTGATATCAAAGTGCTTAGGAACATATCCTGGATAAAGAATGACAGTGAAATAACAGAAGAATAAATAAAATTGCATAATTCATATTCTTCACCAGACATTGTAAGTAGTACGTTGATCAAATCAAAGAAAAAATTGGCAGATCATGTAATGCGTGCGAGGGATGAGAAATGTGTACACAACACTGGTTAAACAACCTGAGGGGAACGGACCACTCGGAAGACATAATTGTCAATAGGAGGATGATATTAAAATTTATTTTAAGTAAACAGAACTTGAATGTGTAGATTGGATTCATGTGGCTCAGAATGGGGACTGTTGGAGGCAGTTGTGAACACGTATTAATAAATCTTTGATTTACATAAAGGCAGAGAATTTCTTAATTAGCTGGGCATACTGTTTATTAGCTTCAAGAGAATGACCATGCCTCATGGAGTCGGTTGGTTGGCTAATTAGTTGACAAAATTTGGAATCCTTAACAGAGCACGTCTTGACCAACCGCGTAATTGCAATCTGTTTAAGGACAATCTCAGACTAAAGAGTACAGAAGAGCGCCGATTACCTGTAACTGGGGGGAGCAGGGGCCCGGATAATCTAATAACACGGTTAAGGCTAATTACATTTTATTAGAATTATCATCATCCATAAGAGCAAAACAATATATATATATATATATATATATATATATATATATATATATATATATAAT